AACTCTGTGTGCAGTCCCCCTCCTTCCCTTCTCATATGCCAGATTCCTTATGCTTGTTCTTTGGAAAGTCACTCCCCAGTAATGCATCTGCCTGTTAACTTTCATTTTGGGCTCCACTTTATGGGAAAACTTAGGCTAAGACGGGTACAGCTATGATTTTCATTTTATGAATGCCAACTAATTAGCTCCCGAACCATTGAGAGATGAAAGTATGATTTGACCCCAGTCTGTCTGGCACTAAACCCATGCTCTAACTTAGTTTTGGACAATAGAACTTGCTGGGGTGATGCGCATGTTCTGTATCTACCTTAGCCAATGTCATAGCCACCAACTACATGTAAATTTGAAACTTAAAATGTGATTAGTGCAACCGAGGAGCTGAATTTTTCATTCAATTTGTTAAAATTTAAATAGTCACATGTGGCTAGTGGCTATGGTGTCAGACAGTACAGCTCCAAACTGCTTTGTTCAATTGCCTTCTAATGGAAGATTTACTGATTGCAGTTTTAGAAAATTTGTAAGCACAGTAGCTAAGATCATTAAAGGTGCATATGATTATTCTTGCTGAAATCTAATTGTGAAAAGTCTCACATTAGAGACTAGAAATGTATTCAACAAATTAAGCACAAATTTGGAGCCAGACATTGTATTAGCATTGGGCAGACAGATGTTATCATGCCCTTCTGTTGGATAAAATCAAGGCCACATTTTGTATGAAAATATTATCTCTTTTTGTCTTTTTTCACCATCAAACAACTGGCCTATGTAGGGTATCATTCATCCTGGCTTTATCCTTAACCCTCAAAGTTTTCATCATTGACTTACCTACCTTACCAACCTAACTTCTTCTAAAGCACATGTAGTGAAAAGAGCCTGGATACTGATGTCAGATAAATCGAGGTTTGAGTCAAATTCTACTTTTAAAGACCTATCTTATGTTAAGTAGTTATTTGACTTTCAGAGCACTAGTTTTCTTATCAGGAAAATGGGGTTGTAAGAATTAAATGCAGCCATATGGTAGCATAAGATATAATTTCTCTTTTCCTCATTCCCACCTTCATATTTTCTACCTTAGTTCTCCTTTAACTTTTATGAGACCTTTCTCTGAAACAGTCAGCTGTATAGTAGAGGAGGGCAACTCTAGGTGGCCATTGGAAGTGATAGGTTAGCTGCAAGATAATATTTTAAAATAATGTACAGAGGGAAATAAAGCTATAGTCTGTGTGACCATAAAGTATATTTTCCAAAAGGAAAATTATAGATACATAACCACATAGTTTTGTCACACTCAACATGGAAATAAGTGTGGGTTACTAACCAGAGGCATGCAAACACAAGGCAATAAAAGGTAGATTATATAGAGCTATATTATTCTTATTACTTGGGCAATTTTAAACTGCCTATTTCATATGCAAGATTCTATTAACAAATGCATTTTGATTTGCCGCAGTGTGTTTGTCACTGTGCTCGCCTCTGGAGAGGGGAAGAGCAATGTAACTTGTTCTCTTTCTTCCAGACTAAGGTGGAAGAATATTGTGTATAACATATGTCACAGGTACCATATGGCAAGGTATCGAACTATTAGTACAGCTTCTTTACCCTGGGCTGAAGTTAGCTGGCTGAAGTGATGAGAGATGGACCAGCTAGGCTTAGAGGATGACTGGCGGGGAGTGCACAGGTCAAGGTCTACAGTAGGACTCTGGCTAGGCACCCAAATGGTGTTAATAGAAAAGTCCTAATCTCTTGTTTGAAGCAAAGTGAGGCTTAGTTGTATCTCAACTAAACCTAGATCCTTATGGCTCCCAAGAAAGTCTGAAGCTGGAAAAATGCTTATGTCTATTTGTAGCCTCAGCATTTAGGTATGGAATTCTGTCAGTTATATCCAGAAAGCTTCAAGCTAAACCTCAAGCTGATCTATCTTCACATGAAAGGACTGTTTGTGCTTGAGTACCCATTTTGGTTTTCCAGTGGCAACGGTTAAGTCTTAGGCCCACCCTGATGTAGTTTTACTATGGGTAGCTCAACATCAATGAGGGTACTGGGTTTTATGAATGCAGTTAAAGCCTCCTTCTCGGCTCAGTATTGGCATCTAGTTTCTTCAGTATTCCCTAGTGAGAATCCTTTGAGGGAGTATACCATCTTCTCATCACTGTGACAAATGCTTAAGGAAAAACAATTTAGAGAAGGGAAATGGCTTTTGGTTCATGGTTTTGGAGTTTCAGTCCATGGTCACCTGGCTCCATGATTCTGGGCATGCAGTGAGGCAGAAACATCATCACAGGGAGCATGTGGTAAAGCAAAGCAGCTCAATTCCTGGTGAACAGGAGAGAGACAGACAGACAGACAGACATAGAGAGATAGAGACTGATTGACTTGGATCCAGGAACAAGATACAGACCTCAAGGATGTGCTCCCATAAGTCACACTACCTTTAAGTAGGCCCTATCACCTCCCAGTGATGTCATTAAACTATTTTTTCTCTTTTTATTTTAAAGGGAGAAAAAAAACCAAAATAACAACAAAGACAAAAGCAAGACAACACAAAAATAATAAAAATGATACAGAGTTTCAAAATAAGATAATAGGAAGTTAATAGTAGTTGTTATATTGTCATTAAATTATGCTCCCATCAGTGTATTAATCCATTGATCAAGTTAGAATGCTCACAATTCAATCAGTTCCCAAAGCCTATCATCTGGCAACCAAACTTTCGACTCAAACCTTCTGGGGAACGTTTTTGATAGTGACTATACACAGAGCATGGTTCTTTCAACAGATTGAAGTCAGAGGCACCTCTGGTAGCACCTTTAAGTGTCCACTGACTAGAAAGACCTGAAGAATGAACTGATGAGAAAAGTTCTCCCAGAGATGGAGCCAGTCACTCTGTGGTCTGTGTGAGTGGAGCTCTGGAGCTATACAGTGCACAACGTTTACAGCTGTATACAGCATCCCCATGACCATTTACAAAGAAGGAGATGAAGTGTTCCAGAAGTGGAGATACCATGAGCAAATAGCCAGAAGTTCTCATTTGATCCACATTCCTTTATTACCACTTTCATCCAAAGGTCATTCTGTAACTCACTGACACTGTCACCTCATTATTACTTCATTAACTCCCTCTGTATCCCTGGGGAACTGGTTTGTGCAAAGTATCACTACCCTCACAGCAATCTCAGTGGAAAACATTAAAAGTAGCAACTTGGACTCTGAGAGTGAATCATTGGCAGAGGTGGCAAGTGATAGTTTCCAATCCCTAACTTCTCTCCAGGACTGTCTTGGATTCTACCACTTAAATTCTAAAAAAATCAACCTGATTTTTTCAAGGATGATGGAAGAAAAGTAAGCTGGCCATAAGTGTACTCCAGCAAACAAGGGCCAAATCTGGAAGGAAGAAATTAAAAATCACTTATCCTTGTGCAGAGACAAACTGAAGTTGCTATAAATGCCAACAGAAAACAATACAGAGAAAATGGATGGGGTGACTAGAACATGTTCATAAATTTATGCAGTAAATGTGCTGTGTATTCTCCAGTTGGCAAATGCCTGATATAAGACAATATTAAAGTACTGCAAAATCTAAGTTAATATAACATTTCTCCACTATCCTACTTAGATTTACTGCCTGAATTTTTATGGCTTTTAAACAGCTTTTTCTTGACATTAAATATTTAGCAGTTAACAGCTAATTTGTCACTTTAATCTCAAATTGTTTCGTACTGCATAATGTGGTGGGAGGGAGGAGAAGTGTGATGTGGTTATGTTTAGGATTTTTGGACAAGCTTGGGAAGGCGGGTGGCAGATTGGAAAACTCCAACATTGCCAGAAATCTCTTGTGCTTGGAAAGAGGGAATGCTGTGTTTCAGGGCTTTTGTGGAAGGTGTCCTGGGGTTTGGGTGCACTGTAGGTCTTCACTATTATCACTATTGGCTCCTAAAGCCAAGAAAACGGACGTGGTGATTCCCTTCCACATCTGGCAGAAATTAAGGCACCAAATGCAACTTTCACATGATTGGCAAGAATACTGATCATTGTTAAAACCATGTGGTTAGCACATAGGAGATTGATTAGTGCATCCCTCTATTTTTTATATATATTTGAAAGTATCCATAACATAAAGGAAAACAAAAAGCTAGAGATTCTAGAAAGCAATACTAAAAAGAAAAGAAAAGGCAAAAAAGAAGAAAGGAGACCCACTGATAGGTCTCGACTAAACCCCAGAGCCTCCCCTCAAGCTACCTGTCCATTTCTTATATTTCCCAAACTGCTCTTCCCCCAGACCTGCCTGAGGCACATCTCAATACTGGTGCCGCAAATCTAGCACTAAGGTTCTTCGCAGATTTGAGTAGGGAGAAACTATCACAATTAAAAATTATAATAGAAGCCATACATGGAGGTGAAAGCCTATAATTCCAGCACTCTGGGAGGTTGATGCAGGATGATTCCAAGTTTGAGCTCCACTTTGGCAATTTAGTGACTTAGAGAGAACTTGTCTCAAATTTTTTTCAAAAACATTTTTTCTTAAGGACTGGAGATGAAGCTCTATAAAAAAGGCTGTAGGTTGAATCCCCAGTATCACCCTACCACCACCAAAATATATATATTTGTTGTGATTTGGGCTCTCATTGGACACTAAACCCACACTTTAATAAACCATCTCATTTAAACACTCACAATTCTCGGAGTGACAGCAGGATGTCACTGTTTTACAGTTAGAGAAACAGAGACTTACAAAGCTAAATAATATGTCCAAAGTCACAGAAAAAGGCAAACGTGGCATTAGAACCCATGCCCACCATGCTTAAAGCCCTAGCTCAGTGGTGCCAAACCTTTCAGAGACCAAGTGCCCTTACTACAACCCAAAACCCACTTATTTATCATGAAGTGCCATTACGACAATGAAATATGAATACTGACCAGCCATGAAAAAACTGGGAGGGTCGCAGCTAATGAGTCGCGGGTGGTGACGTCATCACCTTGTGCCACTGTTCCTTTTCGAGCATGCGCATGGCCCATATGTACAGTTATCCGATGCTGGGCTACTGGAGCTGATGTTGAGGTAACTTGTTTTAAGTGCAGACAAAGAGGGCTCTGTGTGCTGGCTGCAGCACATGTGCCATAGGTTCACCACCAGTGCCCTAAGCGTACTCCTAGTTCAAGCTGATCTATACAATTATCTGGAGAAAATAATCAAAGGAGGTCATCAGGGTCAATTGACTTTACACATGAGTTTGAAATCTTTATACCATTCAAGTTCGAGAGCTGCTGTCCTGTCCACTGCATACACAGAAATCCATGATGGGAACACAGGGGAGGAGGTGGGATATAAATGGCATGAAGAGGGGCTGGGGTTTTAGCCCAGAGGCACAGTGCCTGCCTGGCAAATGTGAGGTCCTGAGTTCGATTTCCGGTACTGGAAAAAAAATAAAATAAATGGTATGAAGGATGATATCTTTCTTGGTTATGGCTTAATATAGACATTGTCATCAAAAGTGAGGCTTATGCTGAAGGCATACTAGCCTCTCAGCTGCTGGACAAGATGAAAGAGGGAAAACTGTAAGTAAGTAGAACTGGGTTTGCAGAATTACTGTGGCTATGTGGATGGTTCTCAAAGGAGGACAGACAGCGGCCTTAGCCCCAGTGAGGAAGAAAGGAAGGAAGGAAGGGAGGGAAAGAGGGGGGAAGGAAGGAAGCCACCAAGTATGAAGGACCATAGGAAGGTCATAGCCCAGGATGACATAAGTATGTAGAAGTCCAGCCAATTGGGTGAGTCATGTCAGCAGAAGTTTCTGTGATGCTGAGATACATGAAGGTGGAAAGATGGCCATATCAAAGTTCAAAAAGTCCATCCTGTCAGAGTCCAACACTAGGCAGAAGAGTTTTCCAAAGTGTCAGAGAGGATGCTGAGGCCCCTGAGGTTTAAGGCAGAGCTCTTGCCCCAGCAGAAACCTTGGCATTCACATGAATAGTCAGGGCCAATGAGCCTGAGACTAATCCTCAAATATCTTTTCTATTCTAATGCAACCTTGACCCTCCTAACACTATGACTGACACAGTGATTCTAGGAAAAACCACCATAAGGCCTACTATGTTTTCCCCAAGGGAAAAGCCTATCAATAGCTTTTTATAACTGCACTTTCTAATGCAATATCTTACCAAAAGTAGATCCACAAAAATATCCACTGAAAGAATGCATAGGAAGATTTCACACAGGGATAGGATATAGGAACTTACTGACTAAAATCAAGACAATCTAAGCAGATCAGCTCAGTTACATCAGTGCATCCATCTCTGTAATTGTTCACAACTCAAAAGGTTATTACTGAAAACAGCAGATCAGCCCTCCACACTTGCATTAAATTGGACCTTTTTCAATAATAAACCCATCTTACCTAGAACTCTGTGATACCAGAACTTAATTTTGGGCCCAGATCTCTTTCTTCACATCAAGATTAAAATGGTAGAGTGGAGAAATGGAAAAGCATATCCAAACTTAGGAGTGGTCATAATTTCTCTCAGTAGATCTCTTTCCCAGTTTTAAGGTAAGCCCCACTTCTGAGTATCTATTGCACTGTTACTGGAGTCCAGCCTCCTGTGCTATGAGTAGAAGGATTTCTAAGGAGTAACTCAAAAGGCTCAAGTCACCCACCCAGCTTGCCTCAGCTCTTGTTTCATAAGTGAAATCTTGGCAAATCTGTCCTTTTTTGTTTACCACGTTCCAGGGCAGTTTTGAGTTAAGCCAACCTGAACTCTGCAAGCTCAGAGTTTCCTTAGCAACAAAGAGGATATACTCGGAGTCGCATCCTTGTCTCATAGAACTAACATTTGAGACACTGTCTGGCCCCCTGATGCTAGTGAACATGTCCTTTGTATCATGTCAAGACTGTGCAAATAAGAAGATTTAAGCTTGTATCTCTCAGCTTATGTCTTACGTCTTCCAAAGCTTCTTGAATGCATGTAATAAGATTCCTGTCAATGGACCATCTGGAGGGGCTGGAGGGACTAGGGAATCGGAGAATTTTGAATTCATTGTCATCTGATTTCTGATCTTTTGCTGGAAGTATCAGTGCCTGTTCTATTATGGTTATGATAGAAACTGTGATTTATAACCCAGATCCCCTTCCAAAATGAAGGAATTGCTGCTCAGCTGCTGGAAGCTATTGTTGGCCACTTTGCCATCCTCCTCTGGAGAGTTCTAAAGAGAACCACCTTGCCCAAGGTCATGCTCCCTTCCTAGGAAAATCTGTTCTGGTGTGTGTCTGGATGTCCTCACAAAGTCTCATGCAGCCATGGGGGGTGGGCCTTTCGGATGCAACTGAATCTAGATTTTGTGATTGGTCCATTGTCTAGTGCTGGGATTGGGGGTGTGATTGCTACACTCTCCCTAGGGCAGAGAGCCTACATACACTACAAGGGATGGAGAAGAGGCTTGCTCCTCCTTTTTGCTCTTGTTGCTTTTTCTGTCTTTTGTCACTGTAAACAGTTGCCCCCCTGCCTTGCCACCCTGCCTTGGAGCCAGCTGATTATGGACTACAACCTCTACAAACTGTGAGCTAAATAAAGCTTTCCTGCCTTAACTGTGGGCATTGGTTATTTTGTTTCAGCAAAGAGAAAAAAGTAACTAAGACAATCTGCATCCACTGACTGATCAAGAGAGAATTTAATGCATTCAGCTTGAACCATTAGTGGTACATTCATGACTATCCCATCGAGCAGCTTTTACCACCCAATAGGACTGTCCCAAGCCACTCAATGGTACAGTCATGCAGGCACCATTGGTGGTTAAGAGCTACCTGACAGCAAGACATACAAATTACAGCCCCATAGTGAACTTGTTAAAAGCCAGGCCTTCTTGCCCCAACTAGGACAGCTCTGAGCTGAGTACATTGTCACAGCTGCCTATAAGGTGGGCTGTTGAGACGGCATCACAGACCAGTGTTTCTCTTTGTCCAATTCTTCTTCCAAAGTTTCCTTTCTTTTTATGTGTCATTCCCAAGAGAATTCCCTAGTAAAACTCCAGATTCCTGGAAAGCCAAATCTGTGACAATTCTCAAACTCTAGGCATTAATCTTGCATGTGGGTACTGAGGGCAGAGAAGGTAAGGCTTACTCATTTGGCCAGTTGCTGGTGGGTCACTGTCAGTGCATGCTCCAAAGGGACTGGGCTTAGTGGAAGAAATCGCAGCTCTGAAACCAGAGGAATTCCCAATCCAGTTGTTTGGCTCTGTTCTTGAATCTGCTAAATTAAGATGTTTCTCTTACACCAGAGATAGCTGATGGTCCTACTGAAGAGGCTAGAAAACTTGAACCAGGAAAATTGAGGCAATACTTCTCTCTGGCAAGTCTATTTCAGGGAGGCTCAATGTTCTTCTTTGTTTTCTATGCCTTATGAATTATAGGCACTTAATACAGGTTTCAACTGAAATTTGATGTTTCTTTTTTTTCTAAGTCAAATCAGTTTAGTGGCTGGCACTTGAACTATCGCTATGCAGCAAAGACCATAGCCTCCAGGCGAGTGGGAAGGCAGAAGTGTCTTCGTGTATGCTAAGGCTTTTGTGCCTGTGGTTCCTTTTGGTTTCTGGTAAGTCTGAAATTTTTTCAACCAGGATGGGACTGAGCAGTAGCCTGTGTTCATTGTTCCTGGGGGAAGAAAGGTGTCAATTAGATAAAGAAAGGAATTATCTCTCTGGAGGGAGAGGCAAAGTAGGATTAAGGATATATAAAATATGCATTTTATCATGTGCGTTCAGGACTGGTCTGCATATATTAGTAAGCAAGTAGAAGGGGATGCTAAATTTACAGCTCCAAAGGCCAACTCCTCTATTAACTTTGAAAAGAACCCCAGAAAAGTCACTTGCCATTTCTCCATTTTAGGGCCTTTATCTATTAGGTAGAAATAAGGATATCAAGTTGGCTTCTCTGATTGGTGGGAAAATGTTAGATTGTCAAGTTCTCAGGGACAGACAGCATGAAAAAAGATGAAGCAATTGACATGAGACATGTTGCTTACTGCAAATTCCAAATACAGCAATGGTGGGAAAATCTTTTAAGTGGCAGGTAGGTTTAACTCTTGCCTTTGATCTGTGCTTTTCTTTATGAATCGTGAGTGTTTCTGCAACTTGGTATTTAAAACAAAAAAGAAACCAAAGGGATTAATTCTAGAGTTGGAAAGCTTCAGGTTTTTTTAAAGTTCTTTCTCCAAATGGCAGAAGCTTAGCCCAAATTCTCATGGTTTCTTTGAAGAATTAAATGACATTGGAAGTGGAGGGATGAACTGACCAAAAAAAGACAGAAACCAGGCTGTTTCAAGGTGATACCGGCCCATGAAATGGACATACCTGAATTCTCAAGTTTTCAAGTTCACTGTCAGAAAACACTAGATATTCACTTCCCATATCTCTAAAATGGAACCGGTTATACCTGATGACTCTCTCAGTTGTTGTGAAAATGGATTTGAGCAAAACAGATCTTCCTGCAACATTATCACCTAGACTGAACCGAGAAAGTGATGAGTGTTGAATTCCAGATGTTAATGATCAGCAATTGCTATCATTTCTCTCTGCTCCTGCTTCTCCTTTGACAGCCCAAGGTATGGATGGCATCCTAAGATGGCTCACTGCCCTCTGTCTCCACCCTTCCCACCACCCTCTCTCAATTTCTTTCTTCATTTCTCTGCTTATTTCTCCCTTTGATGAAAAACACTTTCTACTGGGGAGGGATATGTAGCATATATCTAAAAGCAATAGGGTATTCTTTTTCTCCTAGATATTGTACCGGTAGCAGACACAATCAAAGATCAAATGCTTAGAAATATGAAAAATGCCTTTTCAAGTGTCTTAGGAAAGTGAGACGTTTATAATGTGAAGATGTTTACCATCTGCCACCCAAACATATTTCTTTTTTTTTTTAATCCCAAGAAACAGAGTGGCACCAAGTCCAGAAAAGTCCTACACATTTTATTTTTTTTTAATTTTCAAAGGAAAATCCTGGCCAAACGTTACTCTGCCCCGTCAATGCCAGCAAGCTTCCTAGTTTTTTATAGATACTGTAGTTCCTTGGT